TTCCTTACTAAATCAGGTGACAACCTCATCTAGAAACAGGATTGCTATAACATGCAAGTAACTTCTTTTTTATTGTTTAAAAATATTTCTTAAAAAGTTGCCTCAAAATCTGGACTATACACTGATCAGGTATGTTCTGTGGAGTCTTAGTCAGCTTCGTTACTTGTCTGCATTTGGAAAGGGTGTTTCAATTGAAAGCAAAAGAGATAAATGGTCTTTCAACTGTTTTTCAACTTTGTTTTGTATTCTGCAATCATAGCAAAAATCAGCGGTATTATTCATGCTGACAAGACTGAAAATTATGAAAAATTATGGAAAAGGAGTAGCCAAAGCTTTTCGTGCTTGCAACCTTTTCCCTGGTTAAACAGGTCATGTCCCTCCTAGCATATTTTTGTATTTTCCTTCCAGCTTAGATTATTCCGTCCTAAAATACTTTAGGTTATTCTTTTAATAATGTGAAAAACACGAGTGGCATTTTATGTGATACTAAAATTCTCTCTAGAATTGATTTTCCTCTGCATGTTGCAGAGTACTAAATCTAGTTTCAAGTGAATTAGTGCAAGTACAAAATACTCTTTTTTTTCCATCATTTTGCCTGGCACAAGTGACAATTACACAGTATGCTGGAAGTGATGGAGGCATTCACCAAATGGTATGGACTGCTCATTAGAGTAGGATGATTATGAGGGTGATTTAGCAGTCAAAAGGCTTTATATTTAGATTTTTACTGTGAGGGTGGTGAGGCACTGGCAAAAGTTTCCCAGAGAAGCTGTGGCTGCCCCATCACTGGAAGTGGTTAAGGCCAGTTTGGACCAGAAACTTGGTGTAGTGGAAGGTATCCCTGCTTTCATAAATCTGTCTTCATGCTTATCTGTATTTCTTTATAGAGTTTTTGAGAACAGAAGTCCAATTCTTGCCCCAAACGGAGCTGCATTCCCTAATAGTTGATGTGAGTCTGTACAGCTCAGATAGATCTGTTAAGTTCACAAAGTGCTCTGAGATTTCAAAACAGAGCTATTATAGAAATAGCCATTGTTATTCTTGTTTTTAATAGCTGCTGACAGTGAAGAATATTTTAAGGGTAAGTGCCAAGTAAGAAGCTGTGTTTCTGAATAGAGCTTTTCAAATATGCAAGGGCTCTATTATGTTTGGGGTAATTTCATGAGAAGCTTTATGTTGGTTTGTTTGGACTATCATCCAAGAAACATCTGGTGGGAGGGGATCAGACTGACACAACAAAGACTGGCAGTGGTACTTACATGTCCTCTTGTGGAGCCACTTTATGAGTTTGGTTGTGCTCAAGATGTTGTACAGTTCATCTTTGCAAGGCTTTACCAAATTTACTTGAGCTACGTGAAACTCAGCATTTCCATTTCATGGTAAAAGTCAAAGTTTCACAGTATATTTTCATTCTCAGTATGAGCAAACCCACAAGTACAAAACCTTTTTTGCCCATTTATAAAAGTGTTGCTTTAGAATAAATATATCTAGAGAAACTTTGCTTTAAAACAAAATTATTAGTTCAAAGTTTATTTTCTTGTTTGTTTGTTTGTTTTTTAATCTTAATATGAGGTGCTGGAGTATATCCAGAGAAGGCCAACAGAGTTGGGGAAGGGTCTGGGGCACAAGTCTGATGAGAAGCAGCTGAGGGAGCTGGGGGGGCTCAGTCTGGAGAAAAGGAGGATCAGGGATGACCTTATCATTCTCTACAATTCCCTGACAGGAAGTTGTAGCCAGGTGGGAGTCCGTCTCTTTTCCCAAGTAACAAGTGATAGGACAAGAAGAAATGGCCTCAAGTTGCACTAGAGGAAGTTTAGTTTGGATATCAGGGGAAATTTTTTTATTAAATAGGTTATCAATTATTGGAACAGGCTGCCCAGGGCAGTGGTGGAGTCACCATCCCTGGAGCAATTTAAAATACATGAAGATGTTGCACTTGGGGACATGGTTTAGTGGTGGGCTTGGCAGTGCTGGGTTAATGATTGCACTCAATGATCTCAGAGGTATTTTCCACCCCAAATGATTCTATGATTCTATGATTAACTCCTGACATAACAGTCCTAGTGGTCCAGGACATGGGGCATCTCATCCCACTGTATCCTGTCAGGACATGGACCAGGTAAGGATGTTATTACTGGGCAGCCAAGTGGGCAGTTTCCAGTGGATGAGATTCAACAGCAATTACCTAATTTTAGGTGACTTCTTTTTGTCATGACTACATTGGAGGTGGTGGCCAAATTCCTCATTTGGAGAGTGATTTTCTACAGCCAACAGAGCTTAGTGTCTTTAAATTAGATTCAGGTCACTCTAAATTAGATACCTATGTTTAGGCAAGTGAGTTCCAGTCTCTGTTACCTGTATTGACTCCTTCTCCACTGAGCATAATGGGAGTCCAAACTGAGTTGCAGACATGTCCTTTAGGTTTGAATTTGGTGCTGAATTTCCCCATGTACTCTTCACCACTGGGATGAGAGCTTTCTGAGAACTAATACGTGGTGATAATTTGAAACCTCTTGTCCATTTATTATTATTATTATTATCTTTGAAATATACCTGAGACCATTTTAGACCTATGATCCAGACCATGCAACCACAACAGGGTACATGAAAGGCTATTTTATCACTGGAATATATTTATGTTGTTAATATAAAATCCTACTGAGGCAAAGCTCTGTAGTTCACGCAAGACAACTGAGGGTTTACTTGAACCTGTCTCCATTAGGATCTTGTGTTGACTTGGCTGTTTGATTTAGCAATCAGCTGTAAAAGAAAACATTTTTGGAGCTAGTCTAATGAAGATACTTGGAGTGATATTCTTCCCACCACATGTTTGTGTTCCCTTTATTGTCAATGGGAAGAAACAGGAAATTAGAGTGTGAATCATCTGACCTATTTTAGATGTCCATTTTGGAACAATGAGTTGCAGATGAAATGTTGACTTTTCTCCACTGAGTACCAGAGTGGGTTTAACTTAGATGTGGGTGTCTAATGGGATTAGATGAACTCATCCCATCCCCATTTCAGGGTACAATGAGGGTGTGTTTGTCCTTATCAGCAACAAATAGCTTTATCACCCCCCAAACACCATGGCTGATATGGGACCTGTCCCAGGACTAACCTGCATGGAGATGAGACCAGCCACTGGAACTGGAGCTCTATTCCCACTTGAGGATGATTCACAGCCCACTGAGGTCAACAGGAATCTTTCCACTGCCTTCAGTGGGCTTTGCAAACCCCAGGGTTTCAGCATACATTCATTTAGCAGCAGGGTGCCACAATTTGAGATAACACCATGCTTCTGTTTTTTATTATTAATGTTTTGCTGAGGGTCAGCACTCTCACAGCAGAGCTGACAGAGCAAAGTGAGTCACAGACTCCTACAGGGGCTCACTGGGTCAAAAGGCTGTGCATGTGCTGTCCTGTACTAACAGTGTATTCCTTCCCTTAGTACCTGAGTCTCCTCTGCTGTGGTTGATCTAGTCCATGGTCTTCATTATCACAGCAGTCCATACTTAATCCCTTCGTCCACCTACTCCAAGGCTGCCAGTGGTCTGTGGTTTACAAAGAACAGCTTCCTCATCCAATCCATGTTCCCTGGCATACAATCTTTGTCCATTTATCCTTTGATCATCTTGAAGCCTAAATTTCAGTAGCAAGTCTGGTGTATTAAACAAACCACCTCTGGTGATGAGGGGACTGGAAGTACCTTTGATAAGACTACAGGCTAGACAAAAAGTTTGGGATAAAAACTCCATGTTCTTCCTTTCTGCCAGGAGGAGATTTATTATTGAACTGTATTGAACTGGGACCCTCTGGATGTAAGAGTCCTCCCTAGATTTGAGTGTCCCACCATGGGATGCTTATGACACTGGTACCTAGGGAAGGGAAGTGGTGGGTTGGGGGTCCCTGGGGAGGTGCCCGGTGGACATCCCTCCAAATCCTGTGGCCAGGTGGCATTGCAGTAGCATTGCTGTGGGGACTGGGACAAATCTGTTCCACGCTCACCATCCATTCCTGGAAGTTGCCTCAAGCAGCTTAAAGGAAATACAATGTAGTCATGTTTGTGCCATTCCCCATTAAAATTCTGTAGTTGTGCAGCATGTTAATTTTTGTTTTCATGATCCCTGTGTGTGTGCAGGTTTAACTGTTGCTCGGCCTTCTCAACATCAGCCTTAGTAGCATTAGTGCCATTGTTCAGTCATTCACACCTTTGCTGTGCCTTCTCTGCCTCTCTGCTTCCAGCACGTCTGGATACTGCTGAGCCTTTCACCCTTTCTGAACATGCTTTTTCCTCTCAGTTTTTAGATCATGAGAATATCTCATCAATTCTCTGTACACTCTGTGTCCCATTTCTTCTGCAACTTCTTCTCGTTGTCCTGCATAGTCATTCAACTCATTAAGGATGTTAAAAAAGGTGATGCACAAAGTAAGCCTGGGTTCCTTATCTTTTGGTGAACGTTTAGGACTCTACTTCTTAACCAGATTCCTCAGTTGTTTTGCATAGTTTTGCTCAACTTCCATCCTTTCTTTTACAAATTTTGCATATTTCTCCAGGAAGTCAATGCCCCACTGTGTGGGCTTGTCCAAGTTATCGAACCGATCCCACAGCTGCTCACTCGCAAGCGACAGCGCTACCGGCGGGAGCGGTGCGGTGCCTGCCGCGCCCCGGGGCATCGCTGCGGCTACCGCGGGCACCCTCCTCCCGCTCGCACGGGCTGTTTCGGGCGCTTGGGCTGGCAAAGCGATGCCCCATCCCCGCTGCCGGGCGGGCGGGGAGCGGGCGGCACCGCGGGGCGATGCGCGGAGAGCCGCGGCCAACCCGGGGGTGCGGGGACATGTTGCGGGGGGCGCGGCGGGGCGGGGACGGGCCGGTCCGGGCCGAGTCACCTGCGGGGCGGTGCGAGAGGCGGGAGGTGCCCACTGGGAGCCGGTGACGGAGCCAGCGGTGCCGGGTGCCCGCCGGGAGCCCGGGAGGGAGTCGGCGGCGCTGGGTACCTGCCGCGCTGGGTACCTGCCGCGCCATGGAGCTGGCGCTGCTGGCGCTGTCCCTTGTGCTGCTCTGCTCCGCAGGTGGGCAGGAGGGGAAGGGAGCGAAGGGAAGGGAAAGGAGAGGAGAGAGGGAAGGAGGAAGAGAGGAGGGAAGGAGGGAGGAAGGTGGCGGCGACGGCTCTGTCGGGCTGGGAGAAAGCGCGGCGGGGCCGAGGGGCCGCTGCCCTCCAGGCGCCCGCCCCGGTGACCGCGGAGCGCCGCACCTCCGCCCCTGCGCGTGTGTGTGTAGGTGTCCGCCGTGTGTGTGTGAGGAAAAAAAAAAAAAAAGTATTTAAATTCAAACCCCGTGTGTAATACCTCTAGCACCCGCGTTGGTTCTGGTTTTGCTCTCTGGGTGGCTTCCAGAGAGCCTTCGGAACCCAGTTGTCCAGACCCGATGGCCGCAGTTGAACACTGTGGAGGAAACGTGAGAGAATTTAAAGAGAGGGAGGAAAGGAGTTGAATTGGATGGACCTGAGAGCGTTTGGCTTTCGTGATGAAAGAAAACAAAAGAGTAGATAATCTCAAACAAAAAAAAAAAAATCAACCCCCAAAACCGCACAAACCAAACAAAACGTGCCTGGGCTACTAAAAAGTAGCAAATATTTTTCATCTCAAATATTAGATGTTACTAGGTTCCTGTAATTAGTTATTTAATAATTATAAATAATAAACCTGCTCCCGAAAATGTTTCGGTTAGCTTTGTATGGTTTGAAAGGTGTAGCTACCTGTTGGATGTGATTCCAAATGAACAGCACGTGCATTGTGTTTGGCAGCAGGATCTGCACGGGATCTCTCCAGCACTGACAAGTCTGACACTATTTCTGTACAGGAAAAGTCTATGATGGATTTGAATACTGCATGTTACTTGTTTTTTAAAATACAAAAATACATTTTTATAGGTCTAACAAGAAGCCTAACTATAACTTCAGTTGACCAATCAGTGTTTGAAAAAGCACAAGGAGAGAAAGTTATGTTGCCATGTACTTTTGAACTCTTGGAAGAAGATGAAGGCCCACTAGATATTGAGTGGGTGTTCATACCAGCAGATAATCCAGAGAAGGAGCAAGTGGTAAGGAGAGACTTTTTTTTGGGCAGTGTTAATTCAGTTGTTTGAGTAGGTAAATATATAAGTTTTGTTACTGATGTTTTTAACTTATACCTTTCAGGTTGGGTTGCTTGTGATCTTAAATTACTTTGAAACACCAGTCATATGAAATACAGTGGAAGTTTTGGAATAGCAGATTAAGTATGAAATGTCTAGAAATTTTTCACTATAAGCTTGCTTTCTAATGAAAAACTCAAATTAAATACACTTCGGTTACAGAAAGCAAACTTTGCTTTTGTAGCAGCATTATCTTCCTGAATGAAAACATATTAACTCCTTTAGTTAGTAACAATTTCCGTTCTTTGGAAGCCTTGACAATAAGATGATTCATTTTAGTAGACAGGTTTTACAGAATGAAGTCAGAGCAGTTCTAAACAGTTTTCTTTAAGTTAGAAGTCAATGCTGACCTATTGGTACATGGACAGATGTTTGGTTGCAGTATTCATTGTAATGCTGTGTATGGTGATATATTGAAGTTGGAAATATTTGGCTGTGTCATACTTTTGGGCTTAAAACAATAGAAAGAAACTATCAAGAATCTGAGGACAAAAATTTTTTTTAAATGTTTGCAAGCCAAGTGGATTTCTGAATCATATTTCTTTTTTTAAAGATAATTATGTATGCTGTAGGCAGGATTTATAATCACTGTAATCCTACTGAGATTGGGCGGGTGCACTTTACTAATCCTTATCCCAGATGTGGCGATGGTTCATTGGATATCATGAATTTAAAGGCAGCAGACACTGGCACGTACCAGTGCAAAGTAAAGAAGGTTCCTGGAGTTCAAAGCAAAAAAATACAGTTGACTGTACTTGGTAAGATAATTTCTTTCCTTGAATTTTCAGTGACATTTTGTATGTGCTTATTCCATCCTATCTTCGACGTCTAAAATGAAAACTTCTGCTGGGTAAAGTCCTACTGAATCTCTGATAATGCAGTCATTATTGAGGCTTTGGAAGGAGTGGACACAACCCTCTGTTCTGAGGGTGAAGGGAATGATATTCAGAATAATGAACGCTTTTAAAAATTCTGCACCTGGCTTGTATTTCATAGAAAATCTTTTCATCCAGAGAAATGGTTTGTTGCACAAGCTTTATCTTTAGCAAGATGGACTGACCTACTAGAACACAACTAGTAAGCATTTTGATTGTTACTGTTATTAATTCAGTGATATTTTGTTTATTAGTAAAGCCAGCAGGAACTAAATGTTCCATTGAAGGATCACAGGAGATTGGAAAAGACCTTACCTTGAAATGTGCATCACGAGAAGGATCCCCACTTTTGTCTTACGACTGGAGGAGAGTATCTGGCCCACAGGAACTTCCTGCCACTTCCATGCTGAGTAATGTCAAACTTGATTAATTACTCTGAAATATTGAAAAAGATTGCATTAGTATTTTTGGCTTATCTTGACTTGTGAGCAGTTCATGCTTAGTATTAATATAAAGTAGTCAAGATAAATGTCACTTCTGCCTTGTCACTGGGTAACAAAACTAACATTGAAACAAGTTGGGGTTTATTTTGTTTTTTTTTTAATTCATACTGGGAAATGTTTCAAGCTTTGAGATTCTTACCATTAGGCTCCAGTATCGTGCTCACCTGTGCCCAAGTGTTGTGAGGATAGAGTTAGATATTCTAAATTTTGACTGATGGATTTCCAATTATTACAGTGGTAATACCAGATTTTTATTGTGAGAACTTCCTTGTAGAAGGTTAATTTGTGAGTTTTGGCTTTGTGAAAGTCATTCTAGAATATTTTTTTGGCAGAGCACCAGTTCTTGATGTTCTTTGTAGTTATGAAAACCTTAAACTTTGAGATGGTAGGATTTCCTTGCAGATGTAGCAGTTCAACAATCTGCTTACAAATAGACATATATTAACTCAGGATGCACAGAATATACAGGACAAAGTGACAGCAAGTGTCTAAGAGTAGCCAAAGTGGATTTCTAGAGGAGAGAGAATAAGACATGGTTCTTCTCATAGGGGTCTCCTATCCTCCTGTAGTTTATTCCTCAGAAAATGCAGATGTGGCTTCAGTTTGATTTAAAACAAGCAAAAACTGACTTCTGTGAACATCTCCATTTTTTTGTAAGCTTCTGTAGTCTATTAGAATCTGTAATATCATAGAACACAGACCCTTAAAAATCAGCTACAAAGGCAGAACCTCGTACTGTTGTTCATTTTGAACTTGATTCCTGGTAGTGCTGTTTGATTCTCTCTTATTTTTCATTAATGTCTTTCTCTGTACCACTCAAGACTTTAGGCTACTGTTGTTATGCCCCTTCTTTTTCCACATATAACTAGTTCTAGTCATGTCAGATAACTTAATGCTTATATTATTGGCTGTAGAGCATTGAGAGTAGCATCCATTCCTATCTATTGATTAGTCAAATTAGCAAATAAGTCAGATGCTGTGGAATAAATTTCTAACAGGGTAAGAGACTTTTACAAATAATGGTATTTTACAGCACAATAGACTTTTGTTTTTATTTGGATGTTTTTAATACAACATTTTTAAATTAAGATATCATTAATAGTTCTGTAGTATTGAATATGGAATTAAACTTAAGGAAAATGGTAAACATCTACCTTTTGTTATTTGTAGATAAAAATACAGGGGAACTTCTTCTGAAGAATGTCTCTCAAGAAGACTCTGGTGTGTACAACTGTGTTGCCTCGAACAGAGTTGGCACGGATGAATGTTCTATCGAGCTGAATGTCACCCCTCAAAGTGTTTGCTGGGTAATGGTCATGTAGCGTTCTGCGTATGAAAACTGAATATCCTTTTTCTCTAAACTCTAATCCAAAACCTTGTAACTGGTGGGTGCCAAAACAAGGCTTATTATTGTTTTAAATAAACGCATGTGATTGAGCCTCTCTCTGATTCACTGATGTACTATTAACCTGGGTCATGTGAAACATACTGGGTTTAGTGTTAAAAGAAAGTTGGTCTTATAACTTCGACACTTAACAAACAGTATTGTTATTTATCTATTCTAGCTGTAAATACAGCTGGTATAGTTGCTGGAGCTATTATAGGAACTCTGCTGTGTCTTTCTGAAAAGGGCCTCTACCTCATTTGGCTAAAGAATCTTGTGGTCTTCTGAAACTTGTAAAGAGCTGTGCCCTAATTAGCTAAGGAACTTGTGCTGATTTCTGTTTTCTTGGACTTTGTGATTTTAGCTGTTTTTACTCAAACCTGTGTTTAGCTTAATGTCAGTAAAAAAAGATTAAAACCTTGATGCCCAAAGGAGATTAGGGAATAACTGAGCTCTGCACCTGTAGGAAATAAGTCAAATGATTTTTCCGCCCCAGGGAGTTGAATCAATAGACATTGTTTAGCTATAAGAGCAATAAAGAATTGTTTAAGTAGAAAGGAGCTGTGGGTTATCTTTAACCAAAGATAAATGTGCTGTCTCATAGTGATTTAGAACAATGAGATAAGGGCTAAAAGTCAGAAGAAATGAACTGTGCTTGTGAAGTGCTGAGGCCTGAACAGGCCCTGAGCCAAGGTGGACCTCTAGATGAACCTTCCAGCCTAATGTTGTATTTAGCCATGTATCTGCTTATTAGCCAAAGTTCTATATAATCCTTAGTAAAATACATAATACTACACCTGTGTCAAAATAAGTTGCTTGTTGATAAGCTGGACACTCATCAGACTGTAGCTGAGAAGGCTGCAGTTTGGGTGGCACAATACAAGTACAAGAAAAGGAAGGGGAAAGTGAATCATAAGAAAGTGCATTCAGTGATTACAGAGGCAGTTGTGCAGTGGGATCCCGATAAATGGGATGGAGATATTTGGGATTCTACAGATTCTGATGAGGCTGGTTCCCCAGATGAATTCATAGACGTGAGACTGGCATGGAGATGGAGAATGGAATTAGGGGCTGATAGGCAGCTGATAAGGAGGGATGTGGTGGAGGATTATAGTCAGAATGAAGTAAATGATATAATTGAACGGTTTAAACAGAGACTGGGAGAATCTCTGCTGAGTTGGATGGTGTGTTTGCACGGTCAGGGAGCATCAGGGGAAACCCTTGATTCAAGGAATTCCAGGAAGTTTTTCATCTTGAGTTCAGACTCCTTTGTGCAGGATGCATTTTGGAATAATGACACTAATCCGTGAGCTTTGGCTGCTTTGGAATGCAGTAATAAAGATTGCACAGAAAATGACTGGCCTGGAGTTGAGCATGCATGGTGTACATTGTGGGATTGTGTACGGCAATTAAAGGAAGAGGGGATGGAGTCAGTGATTTTCACAGGAGATGCTGACAGTATGATGCAGCATGCTCTGTCTGTTGCTATGAGAAATAAACTGATTAAGGTTTCTCCAGCAGCCTACAAAAATGTAATCCTGACTTCCTTGATTAACGAGATGGGAAATCCCCTCTATGAAGTAATTGAAAAAATACAGCAGCTTGGTTACCTTGGAGAGTGTTTCTAGCCCTGATTGTCATGATTGTTTCTAGCCCTGAATATAAAATGGGGATAGATATGCTAAAAGGATTAACCCTGAATCTTCCTGATGGTAAGTACCAATTTGGAATATTAGTGCCCGGTCAATCTTAGTGGGAAAAATAAAAATGCCTCCTGTGCAGATTCCTGCTGCAACTAAATTAGTAACAATGAAACAATACCGGATGCCAGGAGGGCATGAAGAAATATCACAGACAATTAAAGATTTGCTGGATGCTGGAGTTTTAAAATCACTACCACAGCTTGGAAGAATCCGGTATGGCCTGTAAAAAAAGAGTGATGGGTCATGGAGAATGACTGTAGATTTTAGAGAGTTAAATAAGCATACCCCGCCTCTCATGGTAGCTATACCAGATACTGTGACTTTAATAGAAAAAATTCAGAAACATCTTTAATAATGGAGCCAAAGTATGGGTCCAAAAACCAAATAGCCCTCCTGAACCGGCTGAAGTAATAGCCACAGGGAAGGACAATACTATTTTAATCATGAAACCTGGGCAAGAAAAATGGAATATGTCCCTGCAACAAAGTATTATAGGTGAGAATAACTAGATGTTATAAAATCTTGTTTTACACATCCTCTGCCACTGAATTTACCTCCAAACATCCTTTTCTGTGTCTGGGAAAGATTATTCTTTTAGAGCCCAGAGAATGCTGCAGAGAACATGCTACTACCTCACTAGAAGAGCCTTACAGGTACCAAAAATTTTCTGCATCAAAAAAGTGTCAAACTCATGTTCCCTGTATTGTTCAGATCAGTGACTTTCACAGTCAAACCAGGATCACTCAAATACTAATAACATCATTGTCCTTGTCATGTTTCTACAGGAAGAAATCGGTAATTAAAAACCTTTGGGAAAATTAATATTAAACTTGCACAGCTAAAATATATTTTTATTTTAATTAGGCAACTGTTCCAGTGCCTCACCACCCTATTATTATTATTATCATCATTATTATTATTATTATTATTATTATTATTATTATTATAATATTTAATGTCAATAGGCACTTCCAAATAACAACTGATATCATCCAGATGTGGTGGATATTTCTCCACCAAGAATGCCTTTCACTCCAGTGATCCTTCACCACTGACTCCAGAAGTCTGGATGACCGGTTTCAACTAGATCTGAAACTTTTAAATGATTTTATTTAGCTGAAATAAATTCTGTGCTAATGCTAGGGATATGGAATCTATTTAAGTACATATGACAGATTTTCATATATTCAGTTACAAGTCAATAAATGAGTTTGCTTCAAATGTTCAGGTTATAAAAAACATTTCAGTACCTGTGATAAATATTTTAATATATTCATTAATGGGCAAAAATAGATTGATATTACCCTGTCAAGTCCACATATTAAAGTGGTCACAAGCCAGTATCACAGAAACTATGAGTGAAAAAAGGGCCATAATTTACCTCATGGTTTTTGTGCCTGTTGTGTTCGTGCTGTCAGAGTTTTTCTAAATAACCACAATGGATAAAAATGGCCTCGAATCTTCCCTTCTGAATGAATACAGAGATTCTCTCCTGATGAGGACATGGAGTCTACAAACAAACAAACATGTTTGCAACACAGACTAAATAGAAAATGCTCCTGGGGAGGGATTCTCCAAGTGAAAAACATCTCCACTCCCAGATAAGTCAAAGTGTGCCATGGGGACTTTTGTCCCCGTGTTCTGATCCGAGTTCAACAAGCCCCCAACACCAGGCCCCTTTTGCCTCAAAGCTCTGTGTTGATGTGAGCAGAACAAGCTCTGAACAGCAGGGCAGGTGGGGTTGCAGAGCTTAGATCCAAGTGCCTGAACTTGCTTTCCTCCCAGCACAGGAGGGAAACTGCCCACCTGGAATAGTCCTGGAAGAAAAGGAAGGTTTTTCTTCCTTTGAATCGTGTGCAGCTGTTTCCTGAGAGAATGCTGATGTGCACAGCCAGAACTTTGACACCAGCTGTGTGGTGAGGTCAACATGCTGGAGGGATGGGATGGCATCCGGAGGGACCTGGACAGGCTTGGGGGGTGGGCCTGTGTGAACCTCACGGAGCTCAACAAGACCCAGTATCCACAAGGCCCTGGGATCAACACAGGCTGGGGTGGAGAATGGATTGAGAGCAGACCTGCTGAGAAGGACTTGGGGGTGCTGGTGAAAGAAAAACTGGACATGACTTAGCAATAACTGGTCATTTCTTGCATTTGCAGCCCAAAAAGCCAACTGTGTCCTGAGCTGCATCAAAAATAGCCTGGGCAGCAGGTCGAGGGAGGTGNAAAAAAAAAAAAGTATTTAAATTCAAACCCCGTGTGTAATACCTCTAGCACCCGCGTTGGTTCTGGTTTTGCTCTCTGGGTGGCTTCCAGAGAGCCTTCGGAACCCAGTTGTCCAGACCCGATGGCCGCAGTTGAACACTGTGGAGGAAACGTGAGAGAATTTAAAGAGAGGGAGGAAAGGAGTTGAATTGGATGGACCTGAGAGCGTTTGGCTTTCGTGATGAAAGAAAACAAAAGAGTAGATAATCTCAAACAAAAAAAAAAAAATCAACCCCCAAAACCGCACAAACCAAACAAAACGTGCCTGGGCTACTAAAAAGTAGCAAATATTTTTCATCTCAAATATTAGATGTTACTAGGTTCCTGTAATTAGTTATTTAATAATTATAAATAATAAACCTGCTCCCGAAAATGTTTCGGTTAGCTTTGTATGGTTTGAAAGGTGTAGCTACCTGTTGGATGTGATTCCAAATGAACAGCACGTGCATTGTGTTTGGCAGCAGGATCTGCACGGGATCTCTCCAGCACTGACAAGTCTGACACTATTTCTGTACAGGAAAAGTCTATGATGGATTTGAATACTGCATGTTACTTGTTTTTTAAAATACAAAAATACATTTTTATAGGTCTAACAAGAAGCCTAACTATAACTTCTGTTGACCAATCAGTGTTTGAAAAAGCACAAGGAGAGAAAGTTACGTTGCCATGTACTTTTGAACTCTTGGAAGAAGATGAAGGCCCACTAGATATTGAGTGGGTGTTCATACCAGCAGATAATCCAGAGAAGGAGCAAGTGGTAAGGAGAGACTTTTTTTTGGGCAGTGTTAATTCAGTTGTTTGAGTAGGTAAATATATAAGTTTTGTTACTGATGTTTTTAACTTATACCTTTCAGGTTGGGTTGCTTGTGATCTTAAATTACTTTGAAACACCAGTCATATGAAATACAGTGGAAGTTTTGGAATAGCAGATTAAGTATGAAATGTCTAGAAATTTTTCACTATAAGCTTGCTTTCTAATGAAAAACTCAAATTAAATACACTTCGGTTACAGAAAGCAAACTTTGCTTTTGTAGCAGCATTATCTTCCTGAATGAAAACATATTAACTTCTTTAGTTAGTAAGAATTTCTGTTCTTTGGAAGCCTTGACAATAAGATGATTCATTTTAGTAGACAGGTTTTACAGAATGAAGTCAGAGCAGTTCTAAACAGTTTTCTTTAAGTTAGAAGTCAATGCTGACCTATTGGTACATGGACAGATGTTTGGTTGCAGTATTCATTGTAATGCTGTGTATGGTGATATATTGAAGTTGGAAATATTTGGCTGTGTCATACTTTTGGGCTTAAAACAATAGAAAGAAACTATCAAGAATCTGAGGACAAAAATTTTTTTTAAATGTTTGCAAGCCAAGTGGATTTCTGAATCATATTTCTTTTTTTAAAGATAATTATGTATGCTGTAGGCAGGATTTATAATCACTGTAATCCTACTGAGATTGGGCGGGTGCACTTTACTAATCCTTATCCCAGATGTGGCGATGGTTCATTGGATATCATGAATTTAAAGGCAGCAGACACTGGCACGTACCAGTGCAAAGTAAAGAAGGTTCCTGGAGTTCAAAGCAAAAAAATA